GCACGATTATCGTACGATAATCGTATGCAATCGGGTTTTCGTACGATAATCGAGCAGTGTGAACGGAGACGTGCAACCGTTTCTACTGTACGGTCGCACGTCTTCTGTCGAACCAGCATGTTCGAAAACCAGCCGGGAATCGTACGATTCTCGGCTGGTTAGAACGGTGCTCGGAAGACAAATGCTGAACGGGCCGGTGCGCACGCGCACACTTCCCGTTCAGCATTGTGGTCATCGGTCATGGCTAATCAGGAAGCCGGGCAGTTCTTCCTCGTAACATGAAAATGCCTTTCCATGAGATCTCCTGAGATTGCAGATGAGATTTCCCAACACTGCTCTGCTGGTGTAACCTTCCCAAGATGCAACGCTTTGGCACATTACATCATTTGTGCCAGAACTGGACCAGGAGGTAGATAAACTCTATTTGTAAGTAAATGAAAAACAAGTTTGTTTAACTAATGAATATAAGATAATTTTAAATCATGTAAAACAAAAAACAGACAGTGCGTTCTCCTAGTGTAAAAACGTTTATTGAAAGAGTTTAAAGATTCTTCCATAAAAACTACTCACATTAGGATGAGCAACATAGTGTCTAACACACTAGCTCTGAGGAAGGGGAAAGCTCCCCCGAAACGTGTCAGCTTTCTGGTTGCCTTTGGGATCTGTTTGTCAATATGTTGCTCATCCTAATGTGAGTTTTTATGGAAGAATCTTTAAACTCTTTAATAAACGTTTTTACACTAGGAGAGGGTGCGGTCTGTTGTTTGTTTTATGTGAGGATGCTTCCTGGTGGCCTTGAGGCGGCAGCCTTTTCCCTCTATGTTGATGTGGAAGAATTTCCTTTACTGGACGCTGTGTTGTACACTACTCTACATGATTTTAAATCAGCATTCAGAGCTGCATGCTGATGTGATTTTTGGTAATTGGGAGTAAAGATCCACTTTGCAGTAGCATTAAAGTCTGGGCTGTTTTTACCTTAATTCATTCTGTGCAGTAAGGTAAAAACCGCCCAGTACCTTTGTCTCTCCCTGTCCCCCCCACACTTACCTGTCACCGCCACAAGCGATCCTGTTCCCCATTCTTCCTCGTTACGGGAGAGGATACTGATAGCAGAGGAGCCATAGGCTTCTTCTGCCATCAATCAAACTGTTGGGCGGAGAGGAGGGGCGTGGCCTGCAGCAGGGCTGTGTGTCTATGGATGCTCACAGCTACTGCAGGCACGAGCACAGGGCCGGATTTACTCCCTCTGCAGCCCCAAGGCCAGGTTCCTCAATGCGCCCCCCTGTACGCAAGCTGCATACAAGTGATCTCAGCGAAATCGCCAAGATCATTTGTACAAAACAAGCGGCGGCTTCCCCGCTGTACATTTAGCTCTGCTTGTAGAAAACAGCTACCCGGCCGATGCCCAGAACTGCATGTCCCAGACGTCGGGAGATAGGAATTCCTCACCCCTGCTGCCCCCTCTACTCCCTGCTGCCCCGAGGCCAGGCCTCGGTTGGCCTTGTGGGAAATCCGGCCCTACACAAGCATACACAGGTGCCTCCACAGCAGCTGCTTAGCTGATGGCGGCACCCGCGCAGGGGGCAGTGGGGATGAGTGCTCCAGGAAACTGCTAGAAAACGAAGAACTACACATTTTTAAAGAAGATTTATGCAAAGGTGGACCTCCTAGGTGGAAACATAAGATAAACCCTGAAACTTTAATATCCCTTTAAGGCAGGGGTCTCAAACTCAATTCCCTCCAGTGCCACTCAACACATTTTTTTCTCCAATGGGGGCTGCTCGCCAAATTTCAAACTTTAAAAGGAGAACTATTAGGTGAGGGAAATCACTCAGCCTCATAGTTTGAGCTGACGTGTCACAATGAAACTGTCACATGTCGGCTCAATAGATCGAGAAGTGAGCGAACGCATACCGTCGCCCGCTCACTTCTCGATCCTGTCCATGCAGAGAGCCGTGACTGTCACTCACGGCTCCCTGCAGGGATTCCCCCACGCAGCTGGGTGAATCTCGACAGTAATGTCGGGATCCGTCCAGGCTGCGGCGGTCTCAGTATAACACGAGCTCTAGCTCGCGGTATACTGAGCTTTGGGTCACAGGAGGATGCTAGTTTATGTCCTCCCGTGACCCTGAGGAGAACTATGGGGAAAAACACTTACCCCATAGTTCTCCTTTAAAATAAAATGTAACTAAATGTGATATGGTACTACGGACCCCAATACACGCACAATAAGGCCCCATTCATATCTGTAGGTTTAGGTGCGATTATGGATTCCTGCGTCAGAAACTTGTGTTTTCCTGCAGCAGGAATCCCTAATCTGGCGTTTAAAAGCGGCAGCTGTCACCTATTCAAGTTAATGATCAGGTGACAGCAGTTGCACGTAAACGCCTGCTGACCGCATGTAATGATATGTGATATTATTACATGCGGTTAGAAAACACTCTCCCTGGATACACAATCATTGCGTTCAGGGAGAGTGATTGATTCCTAACCAAATGTAATAATATCACATATCATTACATGCGGTCAGCAGGCGTTTACGTGCAACTGCTGTCACCTGATCATTAACTTGAATAGGTGACAGCTGCCGCTTTTAAACGCCAGATTAGGGATTCCTGATGTAGGCAACACATTATTTTTATATATATATAATTCCCAGTCCCCCCTCCCACATATAACAATATCATTCCCAGTCTTCCCCCAGTCCCCCCCCCCCCCCGTAAATAAAAAACACAGCCCCCTCTCCTGCTTACCTTGTTGTAGGGAGGAGGCTGTGAGCCACGATCACCAATCCCTGGTAAACTAGTGGCGATTAGTAATGTCTGCTGCAGACCTTACTAATCTAATAAATCCTTTCGGCCAGCGTTTAGCTAAGACGCCGGCTGAAAGGATTCGAGTGCTGGCACAGAAGCAGCTATGCATCCGACAGAGATGCAGACCGTGTAGCTGCTCCCGCATGTCTGGTACGCGGTCCGTTGCTGCGTACCAGACTTGTGAGCTGGCTGCGGGCCACATAGTACCGGCTTGCGGGCCGCAACTGACCCACGAGCCAGTACTTTGAGACCACTGCTTTAAGGGGTCACATTTGGCCCATTTCTTTGGACTGTTTATTAGGCCTTTTCTCCTTCCTATTTTTCTGCTAATCCCACCATAGCCACGATTTCCTGCAGAATGGATATGAAGAGTTGGTGAAATTTTACACAGACCTCTGGTGAGGAGTGCTAGAGGTGGAAAAGAGTGAGGTGCTGGCACTAAGGAGGAGGGTTGGTGGTGCTGGCAGTGGAGAGGAGAGGTTGAAGAAAATAGAGTGGCTTCACAGGGCATGTTTCACCCTTCCCAGATAAAATTGGGGGATCTACTGCCACCATCCCAGAGGGAGCCCCAAATATAGGTTCTGCACGTGGAGGTAGTATTTTGTTTTTCTTTTTTTTAAAGCAAACACAGCCAGGGGGAAGGCAACCTGCAACCTTTAACAAAAAAAAAAAAAAAA